TTTAGGTCTTGTTTGAGCGTCAGAGTGGTATAATATACATATTCACTCACAAATATGAGCAAAACTGTAACATTTTACAATCCTGTTTAAACGTATGTGAATTAGTTAGTTGGTGTGTTTATTTATTGTCTGTGATGAAACAGAACGAGTACCTGAGCAGTGATTTCAGTGTTCGAATACTGGCATCTCAAACACTTAACTGAGTACTTGAGTACCCAATCACATCCCTAATCAAACATTTAAATATATTATAGAGAATGACAGAAAGACAGAGAGACAGATATAGAAAAAGACCAGCAATAAAAGCTGGATGATAAAAAAGCTGCCAAGGTGCAGATATAAAAAAAAACACGCTGCTGATGATTTTATACAGCAACGAGTGAAGCAATTTGTGTGCAACTTTGACTCTTTAGTAGTTGCATAGAAATCATGCTGCATGCAACTCACAACATGCGACTAGTTGCATGAAAGTTCCACAGTGACAAATGTCTAATTGTACCCACTAGGAGGAGCACTAGATCGGTAATAAGTGGGTAATGATTTTGAAAATTACAGTAACAAGTTGTACCTGAAAAGTTGCATGTAATTGTAAAGTTGTTCCTAAATAATAAGTTAGTAATTGTAACGGAAACAAGTCTAAAAAAGTGATAATATAACAGTAACAATTTGTACGAACCTAAAAAATTACCTGCTAATTTTCAAGGTGTATAAATAATAAGTCAAGACTGAGAAAGATAAACATGTTGTATAGAGATAAAAGTTGTGGTTTGAGTTTTTATGATGACGGACAGAAAGCACCTGTGGATGTTTTCAGATCTGAAGCAGCTTGATTTTCTCCTCTCTCTCAGAGATGAAAGCTTTAAGTTCTGTTTATCTGATGGGGCAGTTTTGGTGTCGACCAGGTCTTCCAGGTGGTTGTTAGGAGACACATTTTCTCTGGAGCTTTTAATCAGTTTCATTTGACTTTCTTTATGCATGTGGATTATCTTATACCTATTCTCCTCACAAATATCCTGAAAAAAAGTCGTCATAGTTTGTTTATGTAGTGCTTTTTTACAACAGGTGTTGTCACAAAGCGGCTTTACAGAAAAATCCGGGTCTGAGCCCCCATGAGCGTCGCCAATGACGACAGTGGCAAGGAAAAAGTCCCTAAGAGCAACAGGAAGAAACCTTGAGAGGAACCAAGACTCAAAAGGGGAACCCATCCTCCTAAAACGAGTGAATAACTTGCGTCTAATAGCTGTTTTGTGTGAAAATGAAATAAAGTGTCTTTGCTGATCTCTGTAGATGACAGGAGGCCGAGCTGTTCTCAGGCTGTTCTGGTACAGAATGTGTACAGTTTTCAGGCTAATGCGTAAAAGATTCTTCACATAATTCTTATCTGCCCATCAGCAGCGTAAACATCCACAGATGGTCCGTCCACCTCTTTAGGACTTTGGCTTGCCCACATCTTCAGTGGAGCGATGCCACGTCTGGGCAAATGCTCTGTGCCAGGCGTGCCCGTTGGCGGGAGGTAATGTGTGTGATGATTGCTCATTGTGACCCCCGCTTTCCCTCAGCCTCGTCCCACCCGCTCACCCCGGACAGCCCCGTGGTAATATCAATTAATATCATGGCATGAGACAGACGCGCTGCTGATCCGCGATGCCCCGCGTCGGGCTCCCAGGGACCCACTGGAGCGCAGTGGCGCTAATTAGGACTCGAGGAATGGCAGATTATTATGAGGCAGCATTTCCCCATGTTAATCTGCAAACGCTGAAGGACCAGCGAGTCCAACCAGCTGGCCAAATTGTTTGGACTGACTGAGTCCTGAAGGACTCAGGCATGCGAAAGCAGGGGCAGGCAGGTCAGCATGGCTCTGGCCAAACAGGCCAGGTTAAATGGTGATATTTTACCGTGAAATGAGCAGAAGGAGCCAGAAGATTTTACTTTAAACTGCCCGTTTTTCTCTCTTGGAGATCAGTTATGAGATTTCTGTATCTCTATGTAGCTCTATGTAACACAAACAGTCATGATTAAGTTTCACATGATCATTTATTTATCCCTTTCTTTTTCCTTACAATTAAGACTGCCTTTAAGACTGACCGATATATATGTAAATGACCTCTGTTCTGAGTGGCTGCCATGTTTTGTGCCTCATTCAAAAAGCAGTCCTGGGTGAAGCACTTCTTAAATCCTCAGTAGGTCAACAAGTGGACATACAAATGTTTGGGTACCTCTGGTCAAATTCCATATGTTGTAGAATTTATAAGTGAAAATTTTAGTGTGCAGTTTATTTGGTAAGTTTAACATAGATAAAGTATAAAATGTGCCAAACACATTTCACAGGATTGTAGTAGTTTCTTAGCGCTAAGCTAACAGCAATCCACATGGACACTTTCTGATGAGGTAGAAGTTCAACTGTTTCCATTCCACACTAAACAGTGCAGCAGTTACATTCTAGAGCATTTAGACACCACGGCGTAACTACTGCTGCATTTAAGGTGGGATGGAAAATTCATAAAAGGCAGTTCTGGATTAAACACGGACATTTGAAGCTTCTAAAAGATGCTCCATGTTTCACTCGAAGCTTTTGATATATCAGCTGCCGCTGTTTTCCATTTCTAACAGCCCACTGATCAGACTGCTGCCCGTATTCAGTCAGTGACGTATCTAGAACTTCCCAAAGGCTTAGAGTGATGCTTTTCTCAACTGGTTTCACCTATTGGAAATCAAAACGTGATTGGTTGATCTCTGTCCTGGTCCTCTGCAGGTCTTCCAGGTGGTTGTTAGGCAACTCATTTTCTCTGTAGCTTCAAACATTTTCAACTCCAGTTTTGGAAACTACTGTTTTATTTTCCTTTTTTATGCAAGATGCTGCTCTTACATCTAATCTCCTCAGAAATATGTACTGAAAAAAATGAATAACATCAGAGCAGCCGTCTGTTTCAATAGCAGTTACTTAGTTTAAACACTAACTTCTAGTAAAGAGGTTTCTTGGCTTGTTTGCCCAACAGGGTGTGGTAAAAGCTCAGTTTACTTGACCTGGCCAGCTGTTTACAACTTCATTTAAAACATAAAAATTAAAAAAATAAAAAAAAACTAATGGTGCTGGTAATCTGTCCATGACTGTCCATAATAGAAGATAAAAATAAAGGTCATTTTTTTAGAATGCAAAGATGATTCCAGCTGCATGTGCAGGTCACAGCACAGAAATAGATAAGAATGAAGCTGCAGTTTTCAGAAACACTGATTCTATCCGCGGCTCGGTGGAACAGCTGTGGATGCAGTTCATACCGTTCCTCAGTGGTGAGAACATGTACTTACGTATTTTTAATGTTATTGTTGTTTGCTGCAGATAACGAGTGTCCTTTCGCATGCTTACATGCTATACATGACAGTATATTGATTGGCTTGAATACGAATCCAAGAGCTCGTCTTTTCTGGAACACGGCTGACAATTACTCGGACACCACTTTTACTCCAGCTGTGAACATCAGAGGCCACAAACAGCTGCTGGTTAACCATCATCAACTTTTATTTCTTGCTCAGTGAGATCTTTGAAGTTGATGTATGATCTAGTTTTCAGTGTTTTTTTAGCTGTAAGAGGTCACGTTTCATTTTACTGCATGTAACGTGTTCTTTACACACGACTCACCTCTACAGGCTTAACTTTAACTTTTTTTGGGGGATGTTTCAGTGATGATGACTTACATTACTAACAGCAGGCTTGTCTGCAGACAATGTTGACGAGCGCACAGAAATATGTACTGAAAAAAATGAATAACTTGTTTTTAACGGTAATCTTGATCGAAAATGAAATGAAACATGGTTTCAGGCTTGTGTACATTGTCTGTATGTCAGGTTAATCAGACACTATTTTCGCAGTACTCAGGAATGTGTCTGTGATCTTTAATGCTAACTTAATATTCTAATACCATGATTTATTTGGAAAATATTGTAAAATTAAAATTTTATTAATACCACCCCACGCTAGCCTTGATGACAAGCAAAGACTGGTTATTAATTTAGTAAAGGGCACCTGTTAGAAGTAATAATGAGAAATATACAATTATGAGTTTAGCCAGAAAGAAGCATTTAGATCTTTTGAAGATGTGCAGTATCTGCTACTGAAACAGTGAGATAACGGGCAGACGGCTGCTCTGATGTTTAGCCTTGTTCCCCTGCCTTTTTAGCATTGTTTCTTATGCAGTCATTTCTTAGTAAACCTCCTTATTCTAGGCACAAATCTGTCAGCTACCCAAACAGAAGCCTACCGAGCCGATAGATCCGAGGAGGATATATGATACATATACATATATATGATAAACGTGTTCATCTCTAAGTTACATGATCAGCGAAACCCAACACTGAAGCACAGTGACAAAAAACAAAGTACAAAAGGAAGCAAACGCAACGCACTGCCTTAAAAAAAAGGAAAAAGCCCTAATGGCCATTTCTGTACCAGTGCATCATTTTGATCTATTGCACTTACTTTCGTTTCCAATCTGGCTTTTTCCCTCCTTTTCCTGATTGTATTTTCCAAATGCCAGGAGCAGACAGATCACTAGCAGTGATATATTCAGTCATTTGGCAACAAAAAGGGCAAATGCTAAATAACTCATATGTAATGCACGACGGCGCTCAGCCGCACAGACCTGCGTCTCCCTCGGGTGAATCAAATCCGACTCTTTCATTCATTTATTTGTTTATTTATTTATTTATTTATTTTTGTTTGCCCTTATTTTCAGTACTTTTCAGTACGCAGCGATGTGTACTACATTTAAACAAACAACCACCATCACAAATCAAACAGCCTTTTGCAGCTCTGTGATTCAATGATACGTAATCTTATCCTGAGACCCTCTTGTCGCTTGTTATGAGCGTCAAGCTGAAGCTGGCAGTGCACGGCGTCGAGTTATGGATGATGTGGAGGCATGTAGGAAATGAAATTAGCATAAGAGCAGAGCGCAGCGAATAGCAGCACAGTCACACACACACATACGGTCGCTGTTCTTTACCTGTCCAGGTGATGCATTCTCACACATGCGCGTTTCATATTCAATGGCGAAGACTGGAGCGTTGTCATTTATGTCCATCACCGTGATGACAGCTATGCCTCTTCCCACCTGAGACGGGTCCTCTGAGAGAGAGAGGAGAGAGAGAGAGGAGAGAGAGAGAGAGAGATGAGGTTGTGCAGTACTATTTTCACTATTCCTAAAGTCTCGGAATACTCCACAAAAATGTCAAAAGTATTATAATTCAATAAAAAAGACATATAAAAACAAATTTGGCATGTTTTTCTTTGTCAGTTTACCATTTACTATTTTGAATGGAGGTCTTGCTTCTTAATGTAATGAAAACTGACAAAAGTAGGGGAGAACGGGGCTGATTGGCACGATACCGCAAAAAGTGCTATCTTGACAAAATTAATCTTAAATCTAGTTGGTAAATCTGGTATTTCTAATTTTGAGATGGCTATATTGTCTGTCAGACAATGTTGATGAGCGCACCAGCGCCCCCTACTGTGAGGCCCCATCTCTCTTTGTCCCCCCTGCATTTAGTCCAATATTTCTCTTGGTTTTCTACAGATGTTCTCAGTACAAAGCCACATCTGGCTGGTTCGGCCCAGCACCCCCCGCAACCCAGTGTGTATGTAACCTCTATACATTATTTTGCTTATTTAATAGAGTTTTTATTCTAACCAATCAGTGGGGTGCGCTCTTGCGTCACCAGCTAAGTAATATGAGGCTCCGCCCAAGGAAGAGAGAGCCTCCATTTTCCAACAACGTGCTAAGAAGAACGGCTGTTGAGTTAACTGGAAAGAAAAACAATGTTTAACTGTGAAATATTGGAGTAATTTGCAAACAATTGAGTTATAATAGAATTATAACTCAATTATTAAATTCAAATTATTGAGTCTATCACAGCTACAGTTTAATTCTGGTAGATAAGTTTAAGTGAACAATTGTGGAAACTTTGATTGCTTTTGTAAGTAAATAGAGAATGTAAAACCTTAATTAAGCTAAATTGCATATGCAGTTGTGCACGTAGGCTACTTGGAACTGTGCCAGTAGTTGGTTTTGCTGAATTCTCATAGCAAGACTTGAGTGTTGAAATTGGTTATTGTTTGCTTTGCCAAATGCAGATTGGCAAATTGACGATTTTGGATGGCAAGCCGAGCCCTGGACTTGAATGAGGAGACCTGGAACCTTGGGTTCTTCATCTTCAGTGCATTCAAGACATTTGGAACCCAGATAAGATATACAACACACTAGCTGGGTAGATGGACTTGGTTACACATACACACACACACACAGGAGAAAAAAAAAATATTTGACTCCTTTATTTTACATTTTATATTACTTTTATTTTATATTTTATATATTTTATATTACATTTCAATTGATTAAAGTGACTTCTATGGATCTGAATACTGCTCACCAAAGCTGGATGGTGTTTAGTTTAGTTTAGTTTTAAACCACAGAACTAGATTTTATTTCAATGGCAGAAAATCCACCTTAAAGCCAGTTCAGCAGCGTCACATGTGCAGCAGTGCTAAAGGGTAAACCTGATTAACCTGACACTCATTGCTGTACTGCTGATAACAAGTGATTTACTGTGATGTTTGTTTTGTACACATAGGTAAAAAGCAACAATGTTAAAACTGTTATGAAATGGTTGCTTAGTAACAACTGAGGAGCTTATACGTCAGCTCTAACCGTGTGACGGCGCACAGCTCGAAATTCTTCACAGTACCTAATTGTTTCTGACACACAGAAAGGAGGAAAGCTATTAGTGAGCCAAACTATTAACGTAAATTAGATCAGAAGTTTGGAGCTGAGAGAGTTTAGCTTCGACACTTTAGAGAGAGACGGAGCCACTTAGAGAGGAACATACTGAAACAAGCCTGTGTTTAACCCTTAGAAAAGAAGTGTTACTACTGTCGTTTTACAATGTTATTCAAATGTAATTACACAGAATGTCAGTCGGAGTAGTTACTTACAGTAGTTGAGTGAACAAGAAAAAGCGAGTGGAAATTGGTTCCTAATATAAGTAGTTATTAAAATGTATTGCACCTTCTTCTTTCTAGTTATCAGCTCTGGCCTTTGTTTCTGGCAGTGTCTGAGCTGAAGGCCGGGCTGGACTCTAACCTGTCTGGACTAACTGGGATTCACTCTCTGAAATGACAACACAGCACTTTAGTAAGTCGCTCTGGATAAAAACATCCATGTAAATGTACTAAGATTTAGTCTGTTGTGCAAATTTAATGTTTTAGGGTGTAATTTTACAGTGAGTTATATTCACATTTGCTTTACACTCTGTATTGACAGGTGAGCAAGATTTCTGTTTGTTGCCATGGAAATTAAATTTAAAAAGTGGCAAAAATGTAAATGTTTTAAATTTCTCAAATAAAAAAACCCTGTGATGGACTGGCAACCTGTCCAGGGTGTATCCTGCCTTCCGCCCAATGACAGCTGGGATAGGCTTCAGCACCCCACCGCGACCCAGAAGGATAAGCGGTTTAGATGATGCATGCATGCATGCAAATAAAACAAATAGTAACTTTTCAATAAATTCGTGTTAACATTTTTTTTCTACATTTAAATAAAAAAGTATCCACTAATAGTTTAAACATCTGCATTTCCAACACAGTTTCAGTAAACTATGACTAAGAAATAATAAATTATGAATAACATCATGATTTTATTGTTGACGGTGGTACCTGCAAACTCTAAAGGTTAATGCTTCTGTTTATAATGTGTGAGTCGCCGAGCGGCAGAGCTAAATAATGAACAGAGCATCTGAAACACAAAATCAAAAGCGGGTCAGAGGGATGTGTTACAGCAAATATATGTATCACAAAAAAACAACAACAGTTTTTGCCATTTGCTGGTGTTAGATTGGTGGGGCGCTGCCCCACTAACTGATCCGCTGAGGCCGTGCCTGAGCGTGTGTGTACTGGCCCATCACAACATAGACGGATAAATAATTGGAAAACAATGCATTTAAAAATTCTCTAATTTGTGAAAAGCTTTACATGTGTGTTGTAAGTGGCCCAGTATGCTGCAGTTCTTCCTCTTACCTGATGGTGGCAGCAGCTGTGAGATTACAGTGAGATTACCTGCACTGAGGTAATGAAGTTAGCTAAAATTTAAGAGCCGTTATTCTCTGACTGACCTGCAGCTTCATTTACTGACCAAATTCAGTCCAGACTGAGCCATAAAGCTCAGACTTACACTGAGAGCCGCAGATCTAGATGAAAATTTGAACATTTTCATAGAGAGCCGCAGAAAATGAGTCTCATATTTCAGAAGACTCTAATAAATTTAATACCAACAGACATGAAACAGCAGAACATCATGGCAAATATTCAGGAGAGAAACTAAAGCAGCGTCAGAGTCTCACAGCACCGACTTCTTATCAGAGCAGATTCAGTAAATATTAACCCTTTAAAGTGGAACAATAATGGCTATTAATGCTGTTTAATCTGCTAAAGTAATTAAAGTGATTTCTGAATGAGGTGTGTCACAAATTATATTTTTGAACAAGTAAACACTTCAATAGTGTCACGCATCCGTCAAGCTCTCAGAGGAACCCAGACTCCATCTCCCAGAATCCTCTGGGAGATCACATGACCGCCGAGCTTCCCTCACACTCTGAGTCTAACTCGGACTCCACTGCCCAGTTCTCTGGGGAATCATATGACTCCTGACCTTTTCTCGCGCTCCTATCAGCGCTCTAGATCTCCAGAATATTGACGTGTCACCTGTGTTATTGGTCATATGACTTTCATAGTTTAGTTTAAAAGCCTGGGCTTTAGGTAGAGATAGTTGCGATGTATTGTTTCCACTTGTGAACTACTGAGCGTTGTATCGACTGTCTGTATCCAGTTTTTGACCATTGCTTTTGTTCTTTCGACTCTCCTTTTTGCTCTGCCCTTCGGATTGTTTGCTGGACTCTTCTGCTTCATGTTTTTGACCTTTTTTGCCTGTTTTTCGACGACGTCTTTTGCCTGCCCATTTTTGGATTGTTCGCATCGTGTTATGTTTGTCGTTGTGTATCTGCTGTGTATTTTGGATTGACCCACACGTGTTTTTTGATTAAGAACCTGGACTTTGATTCCGGAAGTGAAGCCTCTTTTGTATTTTCAAACTGCGAGCGTCTGACTCTTGTTGGCACATTACAAATAGGAATACATTAATACATTAGTCATATTTTATTGCTAATCTTAAACAACTTAATTTTTTGTTATAAGTGTTTTACTGATCCAAACTGCTCTGATCAATCCAACAATAACAGAAGCCTTGTGCGTCTTTTACACAGTGATAGGAAACACAGCAGCTCACAGAAAGCTCAGGTTCTATGTGCTGATATTTTGAAAACTTAATATTTTGAATCATTTGTGAATAATATTTCAGACCTCGGGTATTTTGACATGATACGATTTGGCCCTCTTTGAAAAAGTCTGGACACCCCCTGCTTAAGTGATCCATTTCCTAATTCCAATATACATAAAACAGTGTTCTGTGTGTGTAAACAATCAGAAAGTCTATGAAAATATGCCCGTAACTAAGTCTGTGTGGTTTCCATGATGGTTTAGAAAGTTAAATCTCCGCAATGTTTTGCAATTGAAAAAAGTAAAAACAATAATAAAGCGAGTTTGTTTCAACTGAAGGTCAGTTTCTGTGTCTCACTAGAACACACGCTTTACAATGAGCACTAAAGCTCAGAGTGGACGCCACTCCTGTCCTTGAATCCGCTGTACTGTCTGTGTGGTGCTCTATATGGTCTGCACCTGTCGGCTGTCGAGGGGGATCACATTTGCATATTCGGACATCCAACGCACCCACCCCCCTGCCTTCGTCAGCAGCCTGGCTCTACATTTTACTACTGCCAACGGGTCACAGCCAATCCCGAGAGACTAAATTAGCATAACGGTCCATGACAGCCTGGGTATTATCCCATCCACACTTACCTCACGGCTCTGTTTCCTAAACACAGAACATCAAAATGTTCTATTCAGCAGCACTGCTGTTCAAACCTGTGTGTGGGGGGGGGTGTTGTTGGGTAAACAGGCACTTTTACTCACCCTCTTTTATTTTCATTGCAACTTTGTCTGTGAATTTTCACAGCTTACTGACAGACACTGCTCAATATTCGCAATGAAGGCGTCTCGTACCATGAAAGGAGCTTTTAATCATAAGTGTTTTTAAACTGCAGAGCTGAGTGTGTCAGCCGCAGAGTTCACACCTGTATTTTAGATCGTCCTCATGGGGCATTTAAAATAGCACCGCTTAACACAAGTAAATAACCAATTAGCAGGTAGAACCTTCACATGACAGGGTAGCATTGCAGCGAATGACAATATAATCATATATATGTAATATTTAACAACATGCAAGTAAATAACTGAAGCATATATTTTTCTGTATTTAGGTTGGAAAACAGTTCAAACAACATTATAGTGAATCAGGATGCAGGACGGATTGTTTACCTGCATTTCAGGATTGTTTAAACGCAACTGAGAAAAATAATAATGAAAATATATAAACATATTTTTTCATATTATGGCACAGAGTTCATAACCCAACTCGGCCGCAGAGAGAGCGATCTGCACTCTGAGCGATCTAAAAAATTCCCTTTGAAAAAAACTAAAAAGCAGAACTTGAAGATCAGTAGAGGCAAAAATTGTGGAACCTCGAGATAAAGTTGTATGTGAGCTGTGGAAGCTACAGTTAGCCTAGCATTCCAGCACTAGCAACCTGAGGGCACGTCCAGTCAAAGATTATGATATAACAGCAGAGAATGAGGATTGACCACATCTCAAAAAAATGCATCCAATTCAGTTCCTTTTCAAACTGATGCTCCCCCTGATAAATCACAGTTGCAGGTGTGAAGCACTGAAACAGTGGAAAGTGAAATGGGTGAAAATGCCTCAATTTAACAATCCAATCAAAGACAAAGCACAGATTTACATATTCCTTTTCTATTTCCGGTAGTTGCAGTGCTGTTGGTGTTGTTTTCTCCCCATGATTGCAGGTATTGGGGACTGGATTCGTGAAAGGGAGTGTAAATTTGAGGGGGAACTGAATCAGATGCAGCTCACTTGTGGTATTGGTTTGCTCTCTTATGGACATGATGCACAAAATAGATATTTGAATGGTTTGAACCTGTGTGTTCATCATTTTTGGCCAATTTTGACAGCCCAAGTCATGAGACAGATGAGCAGCAGGTACCACATGAGCTGTAGTGAGTGAGACCACAGCAGTGCGGTCATCACATCAGCTGTGTGGACTTGATATCAGGTGTAAAAGCCTGGAGTTCCAGCTGTACACTTTATACTGGAAATAGTTTTACTTCTGTGTTAAGTTATAAGTTATGGTCTACACTGCCTTGTTTTGAGGTATGGGCTTACATTGAATGTTTACACAAAGCTGAACTTTAAATTTCATTTTGAATTGTGCTGATTGACCAAATGCTGCTAAAAATTCTGTGTGTGAAAACAACAATATTGCATAACTCAGAATATTCATTTCACAGTTTGAGCATGATGTTATTTAGATGGCTTGGTTAAGTCTAAAGGCATCCAGACTAATGTATTAGTGACAGCTTCGATGTTTATGTAAAAGGAAAAAGACAGTATCGGTATCAGCAGATACTTAAGTTTGCGTTATCAGTATTAGCAGATCCTGAAGTTTGTGTTATCGGTATCTGAAGAAACTTAAGGTTACGTTATCGGTATCAGCAGATACTGGAGTTTATGTTATCAGCAGATATTTAAGTTTGCGGTATCAGCAGATACTGGAGTTTGTGTTATCAGCAGATACTGGAGTTTGTGTTATCAGCAGATATTTAAGGTTGCGGTATCAGCAGATATTTAAGGTTGCGGTATCGTTATCGGTAGATATTTAAGTTTGCAGTATCGGTATCAGCAGATATTTAAGGTTGCGGTATCAGCAGATATTTAAGGTTGCGATATCGTTATCGGAAGATTTTTAAGGTTGCGTTATCGGTATCAGCAGATACTGAAGTTTGTGTTATCAGCAGATATTTAAGGTTGCGGTATCGGCAGATATTTAAGGTTGCGGTATCAGTATAGCCCCCCCCTAATGAAAGGGGGTCTCTAACTTTTGCACACTGCTGTAGATTTACAGGCATTGAAAACTTCCCCATTCATAGCATGATATTACCACATAGAATGTCATATGTAAATGATAAACTTCATATCATAAAGATATTTTGAGTTTTATTTTGCACAGACTTCTACAGTAAATGTAGACTCGAAGGAAGTGCAGTGTCCTCAGGCGGTCTGGGAAACTAAGAAACTAAACAGAGCTCTCGGTTAGAGAGAAACAGAATGAAAATAAGATCTGTAGGAGAATTGAAATGTGTCTGCTGAGAAGAGCCAAAAGCTGATGTGACAGGGCTGGAGATCGAGCATTCTTAGGGTTGTGTGCTTTATGTGACCCTGACTGTGTTGTTCACAACAGCCGCAGAGGAAGACGGATTAAAAAGTCTTTGGAGAGTAATTCAAACACACACGCTCAGTACTCAGCAGAGATTCAGCTTGACTGGACTGTATACTTCACGCCTTCAGCCAGTATTCACTGGTAAAGAGAAGCATTCATAAACTGCTTTGTTCGTCACTTGGACAGGCTCTTAGTTCTGTTATCAATTTTTAATTTTTTTCACTAACTGAAGTTTTTCAAATGATTTCTCACTCTGCTAAAGGCGTTTAGAAACTGTACTAAGCCTTGTTTCTTCTTGTTGACATAGAATATTTATATCCAGTATTTTTATATACAGAATGTCAATATTATATGTACTTAGTATATTATATATTAGTGAATTAGTATATTTTCTATAGCATATTGTATATAATAAGTTTGAACATACTTAGTTCAAATTAGTTTAAACTTGTAAAAATGATGCTTTTTTGTATTTTTAATGCTTTTAAAAAATGTGATTTTTTTTCAAGTGAACTTGAAAGACTGAGATTTATCATAAGTTGAGTTTTAGTGTGTGGGCGGGGCCTTATTTTAGCCACGCCCCTGCAATTTAGAGCAAGAAGTGGGGCTGCATCCCTGTCCCTCATGGCCACATGGTGAGCAGTTAGATCCCATTGTTTTGAAGTAAATGTGTCCCAAAGTCTGAAAATCAGTGTGGAACATTAAGAATCGTCATATTTTCTGCAGTTCAGCACTTTTTATTGTTTTAATGTAAAATATGATGATTTTCTGTGTGAACAGCTGTTCAAAGCTGTGTTTGCTGGTCTGTACTGGAGTTTTTGAGCCCAAAATGAGCTAGAATTGTCACCGAAACAGTCACTACTGACACATTTGGTAAAGTTTGGTAGAGTTATGATTGATTTGGAATGATCAATGATTAGTTTTAATAAAATAATCATAATTAACTTTTAGAGTCACTCAGAGCAAATTTGTTTTAGTCTAAAGTCCAAAATCTGTTAAAAAACCTAAATTCAGCTCTGACTTTAAACCACTTCTTGTTAATATATTATTAACCATTCTTTATCAGTGGCTTGGGTTAATATTTTTCATGGCATATTTAATAATGACACAATACAAATTTTTCTTACATTCCTACTCATTGGGTTGAGAATTTATGTTAAAATTGCCCAAATTGGGTTTTTAGGACAAGTCTGTTAAGCTTTGTCACCGAAGCAGACTTTTTAGGGTTTTGGGAGTAACTCAACTTTGTTAAAATAAGGTAAAGTTTATTTAATTCCTGAACAGAACGTTCTATTAATGCAAAGGACACTCACCGATCTGTTACACCTGGTTTGTCTCACTAAGCCTTTCAATAACTGAAGGACTGGATCACGTTGTGCAAACGTTGTGCAAAAAAGTGCAAATGGTCAGATCCCAGGACTCTACACTTAAAAATAAAGCTGCCAAAATAAGTGTTCTTTGGAGCAATTCCATAAAAGAACTTTCTTTGGTTCCCTAAAACACTTTTAGTGTGTTATTATTTAACCCCTTAAATGTCCAAGGTCCACCAGCAGGCTGAGATTTTAGGGGGTTAAGCTCCTCGAACAGTGATGTGAACAAGCAATAGTGGCAAAACTCCGGGGAACACTGCTACTGTAATCAACAAAGCTGTGAAAATCTGTGCACAATGCAGCAAAATATGACATGCTGTTTTTGATGGACACCTTCTTTCTATTTTTGACATGTTGTATTGTACTGATACTTCCTCAACAATAATACCAGCCAGCTTTTGTCAAAAACCTGGTTAAAATCAACACCACCACAGAATTTGACCAGGATATTCATACATACATCATCTAAACCGCTTATCCTTCTGGGTCACGGTGGGGTGCTGGAGCCTATCCCAGCTGTCATTGGGTGGAAGGCAGGATACACCCTGGACAGGTCGCCAGTCCATCGCAGGGCAGACAGACAGACATACACAGTCACACTCACACCTAGGGGCAATTCAGCATGTCCAATCAGCCTGACTGTGGGAGGAAACCGGAGTACTCGGAGGAAACCCATGCAGACACGGGGAGAACAGGCAAACTCCACACAGAAATGACCCTGGTCGCCCGGCCGGGAATCGAACCTAGGCCATTCTTGCTGTGAGGCGACAGCGCTACCCACTGCGCCACCATGCCGCCCTACCAGGATACTCACACTCTATAAATAAATGCCACAGCAGCACTGAGAAATCACGTTCAAACTGAAAGACTCTCTACTCACGGCTCTCCATGGCAAAGATGGTGATGTTATGGACCGAGTTGACCTCTCTGTCCAGCGGCTTGGCTGTGCTGATGACCCCAGTCGTAGCATCCACATTAAAGTAGCGCTCCAGATCCGTGTTCCGGTCTATGGAGTACCTGCAAGCAGAGAGAGAGCAGAGACCGTCTGTAGCAGCAGAGCTCAGCTCTGCTCCTCGAAGGCTCAACAGGCCTGGACGACATGTCAAATAATAAGCACAGTATTTTCTAGTTGGATTCGATTCAAACAACAAGAAAAGCAGCTCTGATGTTCTTTCTATTCTATCTTAGTCTATATGCTGTTTTAATATTCGCTGTTTTAATGACAATCTTTAGTAAAACTCACATGTTAATATGATACTGAGTAGCCCAACATCTTTTGACGTTATAATAAACCAGGAGTGTCCGATCTTATCCACAAAGGGCCGGTTAGGCTGCAGATTTTCATTCCAACAAAGCAGGAGATCACCTGATTACCTGATCAGCAGCTTGGAGACTGAAACTGATAAAACAAGTGGAATCAGGTGAACTTCAGCTCGTTTTGAGTGAAATTCTGCAGCCACACCAGCCCTTTGTGGATAAGACTGGAGATCAAGACAATAAACATTACTACAAACATGAATTCATTAGCTTCTTCTGCAGATTTGCAGTGATTTGCATGCTAATAGCACTCCCTGCTGGAGAAATGTCAGACTGTACGTGATTTCCAAAACCATGTCTGTGCACTTTCCACATTAATAACAAGGCATTTTCCATCTTTATAGTGGCGTTTTCTTAATTCAGCACTTAATCTGTGCACATAACACTGCGCACCGGCCACAGATGAGGATCAGAGGAACTTTCTCTCCAGGTGAGAGTTAACTTAGCTGCTCTACGCTAACTTCTAGACATCTATTTTTTTTCACTTCAGTGAGTCACTTTGAGGCTGAAGATCCAAAACACGTCAGCATTAATTTATGATTCTATTCATGTGAAGTAAATTAAGGGGAATCTGTGCAGTAAAATTCTGCAAAATTCTGTACAATGATTCTGTTTACAGAACAATATACACATCCAAGGTGCAAAATACAGGGGGTCCTGGGGGTCTGAGATCCTCTAATTAACCTCTTGGATCCCATAAATGTCTCAAAATCAAAATTCTGGGGGTCCCTGAAAATGAACTTGTTATGCTGTTATGCTGTCTTTTTTGGGAAAAACAGACACTGGAATCCAGATTCAGTGAAGCTCTTTATCTGCAGTTTATCTGCTTTGCCCACAGTCAGCTTCTGTCTTTATAGTTCTTAAGTAACTAGAGCTGCAGCACTGCTCTGCCTCAGGGTGGCGCTGTAGCAGACTGGTTCACCCAGTCGGTCCTTCATAGCCTAGAAACTGTAACTCTGCCCGGATTCCTCTGAAAAACTTTCCAATGAGCTGCAGCAGATCTGTAAATCTGAAAACTCGCCCAGTTTCCCAAGAGTTTGGAGTGAAGAGTGACTGTTCCTCATTCCTCACACTGAAGACAGAAGAGGAGACGAGGAAGATCTCAGTTACTGTGAGGAAGAGCGCAGAACCACACTAGAACAGAGACTCTACAGAAGAGGAGACGAGGAAGATCTCAGTTACTGTGAGGAAGAGCGCAGAACCGCACTAGAACAGAGACTCTACAGAAGAGGAGACGAGGAAGATCTCAGTTAATGTGAGGAAGAGCGCAGAACCGCACTAGAACAGAGACTCTACAGAAGAGGAGACGAGGAAGATCTCAGTTAATGTGAGGAAGAGCGCAGAACCGCACTAGAACAGAGACTCTACAGAAGAGGAGACGAGGAAGATCTCAGTTAATGTGAGGAAGAGCGCAGAACCGCACTAGAACAGAGACTCTACAGAAGAGGAGACGAGGAAGATCTCAGTTAATGTGAGGAAGAGCGCAGAACTGCACTAGAACAGAGACTTTACAGGAGAACAACTGATAAAACAAACATTTACTGATATTGAAGCTTCAGCGCCGCTATGGAGAGAGAGATAGCAGACAGATACCATGGGACCCCCGAATACCAGGGGGGTTTACACACTGTATACATCTGACTAACATCTCTCCTTCTAGACAAACTTTTATGCAAAAGAGCTGAGCAGCAACCAATCAGATTGTCGTTTTGTATCACAGTAGCTGATTGTCATGCCCACCATTACACACAGTGCACACAAACACACATTGGTCTGTACTAGAGTAAAATTATTATAAAGTTCAGAATGTTTCAGTATTATTATTATTATTATTATTATTATTATGATTAGTTGTAATCCTCACATTCCTGGTTGTACAAACAAACAGACCCAAGTTAAACAGGTTAACCTCAGTAAGGATGACAATCTGCTGTTAAGCGAACTCAAAGGTCTTCTCAGCTAGAAACTTTTGTTCTAAAATCATTTTGAGAATGTTACACGAATTTTCTATTAATGTTTTAAGTGGGAAGTGTTTTTCTTGTTGTTGTTCCCAGAATGTTCTTCTGAGAATGTTCGATGTAACATAATCTGTGGCCCTGACAACATCCTCAAAACATCCTCTGAATGTTGCTCTCAAAATGTTCTGTCTTAGTCAACATTATAGGAACCTTACAGGAACATCATTTGAAATGCTAAACATCCTTAAAACGTTCTTTGAACATTCAATTAAAAGGTTTTCTTTAAACTTTATTAGAACTTGTAGGTCACATTAGCCAAAGTTAAGGGAACGTTCCTGCTAGCTGGGTTGCTGCATCATGTTGCCTTGAAATTTTCTCAGCAGTTTCTTTTCTACAGTCTGTGATCTTCTGTAAAAGTCTATTTTCCCCACAGAAATGCAGTGATATATTTTTGTCATTTCTTGTGCACTAATTGAAGTATAGCATGTGTGTTTGTGGCCGTGTGCGCCTGCATGCTTACGTGCATGCGGTAATGAGGACGTGTCACTCTGGAGGTTTTGCTCCTCATTAAAAAACCCATTCAGTGCTGAGCTGATGTCTAGCCTTTCATTCACTCCTTATCTATCAGCAGATGCTGCAGTCATTAAGATGATCCACCTGATTAGCAAGTCTGACGCTAACGTCTCCCGCAATTCAAAGCCCAATTAAAACTGCAATCAACAAGTTGCTTCTTTACTAATTATGGATCATTTTCAGATTTTGTGCCACCTGCCCCTTTCCACACGACACATAATGTTTGGCTTTCTTCAGTAACCAGCCTCATTTACTCTCCTGTACGTTGTAAGACGAGCCTTGAAGTTCACTCAAGTTCAGCACACATGACTTCTACTCAGCGCACTCGGACTCTCAGGGGTTTGAAGCCTTTCTGCTCAATGTGGTAAATTCTATTCTGTGCAAATGAGAAAGTGCAGAGGCAAAAAAAAGGCAATTTATAACCACAATGGTCATCTAATTTGATTTTCAGATTAAAGTCACAGACAATCGTAACTGTCCAAGATGGAACACTGTGCAATATTCCTTCAATTAGCCCATGATTGGTGAAGCTCCCTGAGGAGGGTAGGAACACTTTGCGAGTTTTGAGGCTTGTTCTGTACTTTCTGAATGCCATGGCTCCTGCTGGCCTTCCAGGGGGACTGCCCTTCTCAACGCCAGCGGAGCATTTAGGATCTGCCGCCGTAGCAGAAAAGACAAGAGGAAGACATGCCATCTGGCCCAGATAAATGCCAGAGTCATAAGCTGTGATGTCGTCTGCCAAGTTATGTGGATTTACCATGTCTCTGCAAACCGAATTTGTCTGGCTAACGCAGTTAAGGAGATGATACTGTTCCGGCCCCCTGGGGTGCTTCTAGAACTCTGAGCTGAGCAGGGATGAACCCTCCTGCTGCATGGGGCCTGTGGCCTACTGTAATCAGTCAACCTAGTGACTATTTTCCATTATATTCCTGCTTCAGTGAGAAATACAGTCATGTAAGGACACCCCATGAAAAGTTTTTCAACACAGTTGGACATACAGATGTGGACAGATGAAGGTACACTATATTGCCAAAAGTATTCACTCACCCATCCAAATAATTGAATTCAGGCGTTCCAACCAATTCCATGGCCACAGGTGTATAAAACCAAGCACCTAGGCCTGCAGACTGCTTCTACAGACATTAGTGAAAGAATGTGTCGCTCTCAGTAGCTCAGTGAATTCCAGCGTGGTACCGTGATAGGATGCCACCTGTGCAACAAGTCCAGTCATGAAATTTCCTCACTACTAAATATTCCACAGTCAACTGTCAGTGGTGTTATAACAAAGTGGAAGCGATTGGGAACGACAGCAACTCAGCCACGAAGTGGTCGGCCACGTAAAATGACAGAGTGGGGTCAGTGGATGCTGAGGCGCATAGTGTGCGGAGGTCACCAACTTTCTGCAGAGTCAGTCGGTACAGACCTCCAAACTTCATGTGGCCTTCAGATTAGCTGAAGAACAGCGTAGAGAGCTTCATGGAATGGGTTTCCATGACTGAGCAGCTGCATCCAAGCCTTACATCACCAAACGCAATGCAAAGCGTCGAATGCGGTGGTGTAAAGCGCCGCCACTGGACTCTAGAGCAGTGGAGACGTGTTCTCTGGAGTGATGAATCACGCTTCTCCGTCTGGCAATCTGATGGATGAGTCTGGTTTTGGCGGTTGCCAGGAGAACGGTACTTGTCTGACTGCACTGTGCCAAGTGTAATGGCCACTTCCTGTTCCAGCATGATTGCGCACCAGTGCACAAAGCAAGGTCCATAAAGACATGTATGAGCGAGTTTGGTGTGGAAGAACTTGACTGGTCCTGACCTTAACCTGATAGAACACCTTTGGGATGAATTAGGGCGGAGACTGAGCCAGGCCCTCTCGTCCAACATCAGTGTCTGACCTCACAAATGCGCTTCTGGAAGAATGGTCAAAAATTCCCGTAAACACTCCTAACACTTGTGGAAAGCCTTCCCAGAAGAGTTGAAGCTGTTATAGCTGCAAAGGGTGAGCCAACATCATATTAAACCCTATGGATTAAGAATGGGATGTCACTCAAGTTCATATGCGTGTGAAGGCAGACGAGCAAATACTTTTGGCAATATAGTGTATAGTTCAACAGGTGACACAAAAAAATGAACCCCTACATCATATCACTACTTCCAACGTGTTAAATTGAAATCAGGTCCTCCTGACCAGGTGCTAATGATTAGAACACTGTTAGGACGCATGGCTATGCAAAGCGGCCATGCACAGAGGCTCTCAGGAGATGCAGTGCTTAAGGTAAGAGAGACATTTCTTGTAAATAAGTTGTTGTTAGCTTAATGAGGTGCTGATGTGTTGCTTGTTCTTTACTGTGTGGGTTAGTTGAACATACAGTGAAGACATGTGGCTAGAGGTGACCTGCCTGCTTCCCAGCTGATTGTTCAATGAAAGAGCATTCTTCCTTAAAGTGACGTGTTTCCCGCTTGCAATGTTCTACACTCAAACATGTCAGTTAAGCATCTTCACTGACATATTTGAGCGTATTGCCTTGATTTTATTTGATTGGCTGCTGTAGTGATAACAAATGACAGCTGAAATTGAAGTTACTTCTGCTGCGTCCCAATGCGCACACTAACACACTAAAAACAACATCAACAGCTGCTCTGCTGTGTGTTTCGTTAGCTGCTCATTAAACACCTCCGAGAGGAAGCTTGAGGGATTTGTTGATCAAGGAGCTTTTATTGAGGGAAATTAATGCAGTTATTGAAGTAAAGTTGATCGACAAATGTTTCTGTGATATGATGCTGGATTCGTATTCACCAGATGTTTAAGGTGCCTGAATGTAACTGCTGCACCACTTAAGGTGGAACAGAAAATTCAGATAAGAAGCCAATTGCAACTCGACTGTGTATATAATTGAACAGCTTTTGCAGTAGCTACATTTATTAGTCTAACAGACTGGAGATGTTCAGGTTATACGGATCCACCAATCAGCTGATCTTCTCCTCGTAGTGTTCTCTGGAGATGCATCTAAAGTGTCCACATATATGTCCATGTTTTTATGGTCATTCTGGTCCGTGTTGTTGATGTTTTGTCCTCCTGCAGGACTGTATCTGCAGTAACGGTGATGAGACGAGCTCCACAGCTCACCTACCAACATGGAGACGGGCATCCTTAACAACATAATCCAATACTATCAATACTTGGTGCTGGAGGCTTTTGTGAAGAAGTAAAAATGAATAGGCCTGGAAATTAAATAAATGAAAGAATGGTCTTTGAGTTTTGCTCAGTAATCAGTAAACAGAGTCACATCAAACCCCTCTGAATGACTTTGTTTAAATATCAACCACTGAATTATGCAGATATTTTGAAAGATCAGTGGAGTTCTCCTTTAACTCAGACTAGGAACAGCAGTTTTAAAGTATTTTTGTGAGGTCAGGCCATGCCTTCAACATGGTGGTGGTAGTATGAGGGAAGACTGATTGAGGGAGGGGGAGAACTCTGAGAACTTGGGCTGGAGTTCCATCCAGCTTCTACCTAGAAGACCAGACCCTCATAGCTGTAGTAGGACTGATGTAGGACTGAGGAACAGGGAGGAGACGGGATGGCGGAGGGGATTATGAACCCCTCGTCACGGGAACAGAAGGTGAGGATGTGAATTTATAGGGTGTTAGCTTGGAAGAAGGAGGGGTTTCAGCCATGCTCCTCCCCCAAAACTTCAGTTAGAACATAACTACATTAGGTGGTGTGCCCTAAGGAGCAGTTTCCCCAACATGGATTAAGCCTAGTCTTGGACTAAAATATACTGCACCAATAGTTCAGAAATAATCATTAGTCTAGGACTAATCTTAATCTGCATCTGCACACCAGCCCTGTATAATAACAGCTTGTATTGGTCAGTATGGTGATGGACAAGTACATGGAATCTGCAGCTACTCTGTTAAAAAGGGCAGTTTATCTCTCACTCAATACCGACTTCATCTGTAAAAGTCATGGGCTTTCCAGCCTGGAAGGCTGAGGATTAAAGAAGGACCAGACACCTGCTCAGCTGCCACGTGACGAATTGAAGCAGCAGAGAATACCTTGCGGTCTTTCACGCCCAGAAAGTCAGTCCTGACCACACTGCAAAAAAATAGTCTCTAGTTGATATATCCAATATTTCTCCTCTTGAGCTTATTTTAAGATTATTTCCAAACATTTTTTACTTGTTTTAGGTGATTTTATTAAGTAAAATTATATCACTATATTGGCAGATAATTTAGCTTGTTTTAAGAAATGAGCTTGAAACCAGCAAATTATCTGCCACTAAAGTGAGAATTGTACTTTACTGAAAACAGGCTAAAAAGCTAAATAGTGCACAAAATAAAAAATATTAGATATACTGACTAGAATTAAGATAATTTCACTTGACAAGTCACCATTTTTTGCAGTGTGCACAGCAACACTGATTACTTTATTATCAAAAATCACTATAATTCTCAATAACGTTCATATGTAGAATGATGCAGGGTCTTTCGGAAAGGCATTACAGGAAGCAACGAAAAAATATGAGTTTCCAAAACTGGAGTTCTAAATTATTAAAAGACACAAAGAAAATGACACTCCTAATAACCGTGGAATAACTGCCCCCTCAGATAAACAGCACATAAAGCTTTGGAGGAGTGTCTTTGGAGGCAGATTTCTCTGAGAAACTGAAAGTGAGTCTCCTGAAAAGAATGGAAGTAAAGGTAAAGAGTGACTCACTGACTCTCACACAGCTGCGATTAGATTTAGCTGATGGGAAATGTTCTGTTAAATATATATTTCCTTCCTTCCCAGTGTTGGAAAATGAACATCTTGTACTTAATGGCTGTTTGGACTGGAAATTAAATATTAGGAAAAGTCCAGACAAAGTTCATTTCCTTTTCACTGGAACATATTTAACCCTCTGGGGTCCAGGAACTCGCCTGTGCATCAAATCCTCTGTTCTCTGAGTCTGATTGCCTCAGTGAATTTCACTTATTTCTCTGTGGGAAATCTATCACTTCTCCATCGGCTGAGGAGACGGGGATGAAGGAGGAATGAAAAGAGAGAGCTGTTTACCTTTGCTCTCTGTGCAGTGCACTTCAGGAGCCGCTTGTGGCCTTTAACCCTCTGGGGTTCACAAACTAGCCTATCCATCAAACTCTCTGTTTCTATATCTGTGTCTGTATCTTTGTGATGATCCAGCTCAGAAATCCAGTTCAAACACTTCCTGAATCTGTAGAGTCGCCCTTTCCATTCCATCTTATCACGAGATCATACGAGACTCACATCCGGAGTTATGAGCCTATGAAGAGGGGCTGAGACACACGTCATCTGCCTCTCACTGTGTGGAACTGGTGGATTCGTGTGTCCATCTACATTCTGTGTGAAACTGACCAATGGACACTCAGGAAATCACTAAGGACTGACCATCATGCCGGAAACCCTTCATTCTTCATTCAGTCCACATCGGAGACTCATGTGAAACGGCGTGCAGAGAGTTTACAGCTGCTGAAGCTGCTGCAGCGGTTTTGGAAAGTAGTGATGAAGATAACGGAGTATTTAGATATGAAACATATGAGGATCATGTTATATGAAGAGCCTTTAAAGGGGAGTTTAAGAAGAGATGGACAAATCGAGAGAGACCTCAGACACAGAGGGTTGATCAACACTAGAAACATTATTATTTATTTTTTGGTACCTGATTGTGCTGCTGGCGGAATCGGGGTCGTGAGCTAAGACCGTGCCGATGGTGGTGCCCACCCTGGCAGCTTCAGACACCGTCATCTTAATGACCGGAGTGGTGAAGACCGGCGGCTCGTTCACATCTTCTACATTGACCTTTATGACCGTCATGTCACTGAAGGGCCCGAAGGTCAGGAACTGGGGGTCAATATTCCGATTAGTGGCCTCGATCCTCAGAGAGAAAGTGCTTTTCGTCTCGTAGTCTAGAGGCTGTGGATCAGAGAGAGGGACAGAGGTTAGGAGAAGGGATACGAGAGAAGGGGCCAAAAGTCAACTTTGCACAGAAAACCTCTGGAAAAATGAGAAAAAAAGGATTTCTGTCCTTAAACATGCTGCAAAATAGAGCCTCGAACGTCTCCAGCTAAGTTCTCACTCCACAACACAGCTCAGTGCAGTGCAGACTGTATCATAATATCTCCTCTACTTTTCAGAAGGTAATCGCCGTCTCTCTTTTCCTTTTTTCTTTCTCTCTTTCGCTCCTTCTCTCGCTTTCTTTGTCATCCTGTAAACAAGAAGCAGAGAGTCCAATAAAGTTCAATAACCTCCAGCGACCCAGCAGCCCCCAGCCATTCTCTAATACATCTCACATTTGGAAGTTTTTCTATCGACTTCACTGAGGAGCGCGAGGGCAAAGCTATTGATTATTTGAAAAATGAAAAATAGAAGAATAAGAAAGGCAGAATGAAAAGCTTAACGAATCGGAGGCATTTGAGAAATAACCTGGCTTATCTGACCTGCTGGAGCTCCTCAATTGTATATCGATGTTCTGGCGTTTCTTTCCTAATTCATGTAAAAATCCAATAATGTAATTTTTCTCCAGATCAGATCCAAAAACAGATGTTTCCTGCACGCTCGCCGGCGCTCCCGGGGGAACGCTTACATAACATTTACATTTTGGCTGTTTGCAACAGTTTATTGTCCGAGCAGAAGAGCTGCTGCCCACTTACAGTAAAGTTCGTTTGATGCTTTTTCAAAGTCGTTTCTCGGAACATACGGCAGGAAGTTCAGGCGCGCTGAGCTGTGGTGGATGTGAGTTTGCACCAGGTGCTGGAGATCAGAGACCTTGGACAAACACCTACGCCTGTTATCAGCGACGACTTTAATCTCCAGCGAACCTTAAAGGACGTCTTCAGCAGGTGAAGCGTAGGCAGCCTCCAAACTTTCAGCACTGCAGCACCTGCGGCCGCTTCGTACGCTTCTCGAGTCTTAACGGCTCTTTCAAAACACAAGGCTCTTCAGGAGGAAATATTTATATGAGGCATTTTTGATCGTATTCATACATTAACTTAACCTTCATGTTCTTTAGAGCTACAACACTGTGTCTCAGACGACAGCAGTGAAAGAAATTCCTTAAATTCCTTTTAGAAAGCAGCCTTAGTGCTGCAGCGATATGGAATTTCTGGACCAACAAAGATAATCAATAATTTAGACCTTGTTGTGGCCTAAAGCTATTTAAAAATCTAAATAAAATATATTTTTTTACATTTTAAAACAACAATAATAAAAATAATAATAATAATAATAATAATATGGAATTTCCACATTTATAATGATGATGATGATGATGATGATTATTATTATTATTATTATTATTATTATTAGTAGTAGTAGTAGTAGTAGTAGTAGTAGTAGTGACTTTTTGTGTATTGTGTTATTATATTGTTATTCATGATGGAAAATATTGTGATATAAACATACTGTAAACTTGTGTTCATACCATACTCTGTCTTGCATATTATAATGTGTAATATTTATAATAATAAAAACAATAACAGTATAAATGACAGACAAAGTGCACTTGAAAGCATAACTTTCATAAAGATAATGTTTTATCTTAAACTTTATCCGTATCATTTTTGATACCTGATAAATAATGTTAAAATTAATAAAAATCATAATAGGGAATGGATATTGAATTTTTGGACTGATAAATATAACAGATAATCAATAACTTGTGTGTTGTTTCTCCACAGTGTAACACTCTTATTAGTGTGTTTTAGTACAGGAGTGCTGAAGCTTGTCCATGGTGTTAAATCAGGATGCTGCGTCATGCTCCATGAAAGATTTCCAGTTTTTTAATACTAAGCTGGTGTTTTCCATGTAAAATGTGGACTTTGAGCTGTGATTAAAACAGTCGACACAAATACTGATCTATATAATCACAGTAAGCCACCCCAGAGGACTGAACTGTGTTCCTGAGTCTCTTTCTTCAGTGAATATCTGTCTGCTGCTGATCGTATTTACAGTGAACACAGTCGCCTGATTACACTAAAGCTGGCAGTAACAGCAGCTGAACTGAGTCATTCGGCTCGTGTTTATATTCAGTGTTTACACAGTTTTGCACAGTTTTGACTGTAACACTGGATTCAACATGGGCTCTAACTCAGTACTATTTATCTGGGTGTGTGTTTCTCCATTCACAGGTTTATATTTCATAATTACTTATTAATTTATCATTACACACCTGTGTTTCATCATCCAAAATGTGGTCACTTTCTTTCATCTTTCATTCTTGCAGAGCAGCAACGTTCACCTTGAAAATGCCTGTTACACAGAGGGAGATGTTTTCTCCTCCACAGCATCAGAATCCAATCATGTTCTTTCTCCACTGCGATCACATACAACACTGCTCTCTTCTGTATTTTTCATTTGAAGAACGTTCAGCGAGAAAAAGACAGCAGGACAATACAGAACCAACATCCTGCTTAAATACACACCGCAAAAAATTAGATATTAGCAAGTGAAAACATCTTAAATGTAGTTCATATATCTAATATTTCTCATTATGAAAGATTAACTTACAATATTTAATGACTTAGTTCTGGACATCTTTACTTGTTTTAAGTAATTTTACCTGATAAAAGTGTCTTTTATTACATCAGCAGATCATTTTACTTGTTTTAATCATTGTTTTTCTTAAAATAACCACAATTATCTTCACTTCTTCAAACGAGTAAGGTGATCTGCAGATGGAATTGGACACATTCTCTGGATAAAATTGCTCAAAACATGTAAAAATGTCTAGAAATAAGTTAAATAATTTTATAATATTCTTACTACTGACTCATATTGAGAAATATCAGATATATTAACTACATTTAAGACATTTTCATTTGCTAATATATAATTTTTTGCAGATGGATGCGGATGGTGTTGATAATGTTAATAACATTAGCGTAGTGACCGTACATGGAGTCACACCACTGTGATCAATAATTCAATCACATCATAATGATTAGACTGCAGTGGTATGTTTGCAGGTGAGATTATCTTATTATGTTATTCTCTACACTGTTAGAAATAAAGGTTCTGTACGTTTTTCATTCATCGAGGTACAAACAGTGTAAATGTTTACAGTGGTTTTAAGTCTTAAATCTTCACTTCACTTATTCACTTCAATTCACTTAAATCTTTAAAAATTTCAGTGAAATATGGTACCATTATGTTCCATAACTGAAGGTTCTGAAGACGGAGCCTTGAGGGTTCCAGCCCAGTGGTGGTTCAGTACCTTTTTTCAGAGAGTGCATGCTGAGATAGATGTTAGTATATTATAAATGGAAAGAGTCCGTTGAAAGTGGTTTGTGTGTGACAGGTTATCTGGTTCTTGCAGAATGGAACAAGCACATGCCACACACACACACACACGCACACACACACACACACACACACTTTAAAAATAAAAAATGCAAAAGATCAGCGAGGTCAGGATCAGGTCTACATGACTATATCACGTGTATCTATATCAGAGTGTGCTGGTATAGATTTGCCTTCATAACTGAACAAGATCCTGCTTATTGTAGATAAGAGAGTCTAGACATTTTAACATGTTTTAAGTGATTTCATGAGACATAATTATCTCTATGATGTAGGTAATAAGCTTGAAACAAGCAAAATTATCTGCCAATATAGTGACAGGCTTTTGCTTCATAAAATGGCCTAAAAGAAGTACAGAATGTCTAGAAATAAGAAGAATAATCTTACAATATTCCCACAACAATCTTAAAATTAAAATGTAAGCTATGTTAACTAGATTTAAGATTATGTCACTTAACAAGATACCAGTTTTTGCAGTGTAGTGCCAATCAACCCTGTTTTCCAATACTTAGCAAGGCTTTTGGGTTCATGTGTCTTTATTATAATGCTTTATTTTGACATTTCAGTGAAGAGTGTTCGGAGACTTTAGTAATTGTGAAAAGAGTGCTGCACAATTCTACACTCTACCCTACAAATCTACACTACCTTTATAAAACAGACTCAGGCTCTAAAGTCTGATTGGCTGAGCCAGGCATGAGGTCACTGCTCACATCACCTGAATTCATGCACCAAGTTATTAATCACTGTGATGTTTATGGATAATCTTGGACCGTATGTTGCTTGGCAGCCATACTTTACACTGTTTATTGCATTGCTTTTGTTATTATTAATTAAGGTTTGACGTGGCATGTACAAAGTTTTACAACACACCATTCACTCCCACGTCCTGAAACTGAGCTGCATGAACAGCCCAATTTGAGCTCATTGTTTTTGTGACAAAACATGCACTTTCACATATTTACTAACTCAGCCTGCAGCTGTTTAGATCACTCAGGTTGATGAGTGCTGTTTGAATGGTGTACTGTACGGAGAAGCCGGTCAGCAGTGAGGTATTTATATACAGACCTGTGCAAAAGTAGAAAATATATTTAATTTTCAGTCAAATTGGCCGTTAACTAAACAACTCAGAAAAGACATTCACTTGGGGTTTAGATAGAAGGAAAATAAGTGAAAATAGAAGGGTTAGAGAAAGATTTGAGACTCCTAACATCCTAACAACCACCTGGAAGACCTGGTAGACACCAAAACTACCCCATTAGATAAACAGCACTTAATACTTTCATGGAAGTTGTAATAAAGGTAAAGAGTGACACACAGCATGCTGGAAAAAAAAAATAAACTAAATAATAATAACAAAAAAAAAAGTATATATACGTATTGTTTTTTTCTAGTGTAATAAAGGTGTAATAAAGGTGTGTTATCTCACCCTCTGCAGAATGATGACTCCCTCCTGCGTCTCCTCGTCCGTGGTGATGTTGAACATGCCGGGGCCGTCTCCGTCCACTATGCGGTAGTCCATCTCAGCGTTGGATCCAATATCTGCATCTGCTGCCTTCAGTCTGGCCACCACAGATGCCACAGGCACAGACTCCAGCACGGAGTACTGATACAGCTCTGGAACACAGGCAGCCACACATTAGGCGTTAAGATGAGTCTTCACTGGTTTGTTTGTGTTTCCTCAGCACTGCAGCTTGATGAGAGAGAGATGTAAGGAATAAACAGCAGGTCACTGTTTAACCCTTTAGAGGCTGCAGTTCTCTTCAGCAGTAACAGAAGGACAGGCTAGGAACTCACTGACACACACAGCTTAAGTCCTGTCAGACACACAGAGTCTAAACTTTCCTGTTTGTAAGAAGAGAACCGGCAACAATTCATAATAACGATAGTTAATGATAGGGATATTTATTAACTGTTACTTACATGATTAACTAATCATGAACTACTCAGATATTCAGAATAATTCGTCATTAAATAAAATATTCATGTCACTTCATAACAGACTCATAAGCTGTTATTTTTACAATAAAGTAATGAGCTTCCACTTCATAAGTAACAAGGCATGTACTAACTAGGAATTTAATCATAATTAGTTTAAAACTGTCTACATGTGCTAAAATACATCTAACTTTTTATTACTTTACAATCAGTTAATCACAAACAAATCAGAAATGTACATTGTCCACTGTTAGTAAATATATTATGTGAACATTGTGAACATAGAAAAGAAAAAAAAAAAAATCACAATAGTAATTTTGGTCACTAAATCAAGATTTTGTAGATACCAGTAAAAAGAACGCTTTTACAAATGATGGATACATTATATGTAAACTATGTGCATTTTTTTCCAGCCTGTAATTTAAATAATTGAAAGTAATTCAGTTTATATAAACATCACTAAATCCCCATAAGTCATTTACAAACTTTTTGAACCTAGAAGATAGTAATCCACGAATAATCTAAAAAAAAACACTCCGATAGGCCAGAATAAGAGATATTAGTCCATAAATGACCTCAATAACATTCCAATTCCAAGTCATTTGTAAGCCACAATCAAGTAATGATTTATAAGTCATACAAAATAATGTTCATATTAATTAATTAATAATGAACAACTTTAAATGCCTCATTACTTCATGATTAGTCAATTATGTAGAAACAGCTAATAGATACTGATAATGATCTTGATACTATAAAGTGTTATGGTTTGTCTTGTTTTGCACACTGAAAAAAAATGGTTTGTAATTGTATTGTGTTGAAAATGTGTTACATCAACACAATGACGTTTGCTTGTTTTGGCACTTTTATTCATGTGTAACCATTATACATATTTTAATAATGTAAATTCAAAGCACAATTTTTTCATTTTTTGCCACGATTTTGTCTTTTCATGCCTTAAAACACAAAAGGGAAATAGGCAGAAGTGTAGGTACACATATAGACTTCAGTTTAATTCAGTGTTCATTAGTCCACTAGTTCTGGCACTGTAATCTACTGAAGCCGAAGCCATTTGGAGCTGGTATTAAATGCTCTATATATTCACATCTATGACCACCTCAACTGAATTAATATGCCAAGTTACAAAATCCCTAGAGCTGTTAATGGAATAATCTTTGACTGTAATGCTGCCCACACGGACCACCGAGTGTACAGAAGAAGGAAGAACCTAGTTCTGTTCAAACTGAGGGGCTGAAAATTTATTTTCTTAGCTAGAACGAGGCTGAAATCTGGCTAAAAGGCTAAAGAACTCATCCATTAATATCACAGGCAATTTCTATAGGATTCACTGTAACACTACAATAAAAAGTAAAGAATGCATCACTTGAATGTCTTACAGGTTTCAAATGTTTATGTTTTAGTCAGATCTGCCTTAACCCCTTCAATGGCCAGGGCCTGCCCAGTGGGTCTAAGGTTTTACTACACACTTCTATAATCTAAGAATAGCTGAGTCTGTTTGCACTAAAGTCCCTGTAGTTACTGAATAATAAGCCTTAGTATGTAATAAGCCTGGGAGTTTAAGGAGTTAAGCAGCATTAAACCCAGACTGAATCTCAAACAGCTCCCCGCTTCATATGTAAGTTATAAAATTCCATGAAATTCCCAAACAGTGCACTATTTGTCCGGCGTTGATGTGTCAGAATACTGAATGTTCATTTTTCAGTTATATTTTGCACTGCTTGTGCAAAATCACATTCATAATTAAACCTACACACAATGTTAATGTTAATTGTGTCAAAAACTGAAAAAAATGACAAAAAAGGAGATAATGAGGTTTTGTTCCAACAACAGTAATATATGGGTTTTGCATAAAACCTGAACTAATTTAATGCACATCAAGTGTAGTAAAAATCAAATATTGAATAGAAGAAAATTAGTTACATGACATTTTTGTTCATTTCCTGCAAGCACATTGATTCGTGAGCTCCTGCTGGTGTGAGTTCATCCTGTTTCATCTCTTGAAATGATGCACACAAAAGCAACTTGCATGCTGTTGGAGAAACGTCAAACTGCAATGTTCGAGTAAATGAGTGAGATTTAAAGCCATGGCCATGTTTACCAGAAGCCAGTACTGTAATTCCTATGTAGTGCACTAAGTAGGGAGCAGGGAGAGATTTGAGACTGAGCCCCAGTGTGGGAAGAGGGGCACACAAAAACACTAGCTTGGTGCTAAAGAAGACTGGAAAACGCATAGAAGCGCTAATGGGTGATTGCAGGGGTGATTTGTTGAATAAAAGCTAAATATAAAGCGCAGGTTATAGAACTAAAAAGTGCTTTATTACAGTATGTTCATTATCACATGATAACAAGTTAAGAAGTTCATGAAATGGCTGCAGTAGACAGTGACAGGTGACAATGTTCTTGTCCTCTCTGAGCAGTCTATGGTTGCTTGGCAACAACGGCATGCTCTGAAGGAACTCCCTCTCTTGGCGGAATAATTATTTATATCTATAATTATTATGAAAGATAAATTATTTATCAAATATGGTGCATTTTAGCATATTTTATGTTGTCTGCCATTTGATGAAAGAAATAAGCCACTTGAGGTCGCGCATTACAGTGATTTTATCACAAATAAGGGGGTTTTACTCTTCGCTTCACACTTCACATGTTGCCTAATCGCACCTTTACAGGTAATAGTACAGCAATATTAGGTGTTCTACTCTGTGCCGTTGTAGGGGCTGTCAGAACCCGCAGGTTTCATACGCTTAATTTCCAGCACAGCCTCACTATCACAGCTCCCTCCACCGCCACAATCCATCATTAGAATCCCTATGAGAATCCATTAGAATATAATCATTAGAATCCCATTACAAGCCATTAGAACACCCAATTTCACCAGCAGAGCTCTAGAAAAAAAACAGGGTTTTATGTTTAAATAGCTGCATCTGGAATTCTGCAGTTGTTTTAAGAAGGCTTTAATTAGAGCGCCTAAAAGCTCACGACGCTGTAATGATTGGCAGGGCGCTCTGAGTGAGAGAGATCATCACCGAGCTGTCAACCGAGCGGCAGAGCCGGGATCTCTGCCTGCTGCTCATTTCTCTCACTCCGCTCTCATTGTGCGCCGCGTCTAATGCCTCTAATGGCTTTCTAATTTGCCATGGAACAGCGGCGACCAGGCCCAGAGATTGCTTTTACACCTCTCTTCACACTTTCTCTCCCTGCCCGAGCTCTTCTGCCTTCTTTGTCTGTTACTCTCACCTTCCCTTTTGGTTTTTTCCCCCCACAAACTCATCTGTTCTTCACTTCTGTGCTAACTACACACACGGGAACCTTGCATCTGATTATCTGGTTCAGACACTGAAGTCTTTAGGAGTCGAATCCTGGAGAGCTGAATTTTACAGCTTTATTCCTGCCTGTTCTGTAAACATAATAAATACATTCTTTTCAAAATGTTCTTTTTATAACTTCCCAGACCACACAATCCAGAAAGGAGCCCGTTTTGAAGGCCTGCATGATATCTAAAAATATATTCTTGCTTAATAGTCTGGATTATCAATTACAGCACATGACAGTGGGATTGGTGGGGTCACCATGTAATTCATAATCCTGATTTTTTAATATGATTTTTTAGATATTGCATAGGACTTCAGAGCAGGCTATGTGTGGACGGGGCAATGAATGGCACATTTTGAAACTCAGCAAACACACACGCTATATGCGCCCATGGTCCACTGCAGCTCAGACCGACTTTCTGCATTATTTGTATCTTATTGCTGCTGTCAGAACAAAACATTGTATCTCCAAGATGGTAACTTTACTTTTAATGTAAATTATTGTAAACAGATGATTTTCCAAGTAATTTTATCATTTTTTCCCAGTTGCTTCTGGTCCATTCGTAATTAAATGTACATACAATGTTAAGGTACTTAAGGTACTGAAAATTAGTTACATGACATTTTTGTTTATTTCCTGAAAACACATTGATTCGTGAGCTCCTGCTGGTGTGAGTTCATGGCTGTTTCATCTCTTGAAATGATGCACACAAAAACAACTTGCATGCTGTTGGAGAAACGTCAAACTGCAATGTTTGAGTAAATGAGTGAGATTTAAAGCCATGGCCATGTTTACACATCAAAAAAGCTAAAGATGCCTGCGGGAAACCATGAAATATCATACTTTCATAATTTTACAACTAATCTGAGCCATTGCGATGCTTAAAATTTAAGCCTAAATTTACTCTACCTTAAATCTCCAGACAGTGTTTTGCACTCTGGGAAACCTAAGCAGAATCAATGCGAAATTTATTCTACCTTAAATAATAATTAATAATAAGAAGTTTTATTTATCTAGCACTTTTCATGCCGGGGCAGCTCAAAGTGCTTTACAGACAGGAGATAAAGCTTAACAGTAATGCAAGAAATGATTCATTTCTTAAGTATTATTTAGAATCATATAAGAAAATGACACAGAATGCAGAAGGTCAGTATCTGCAGATCTGAGATCATAAGAGCCTTAAAAACTAGTAGCAGAGCTTTAAAATGCATCCTGAACGGTACAGGCAGTGCAGCTCTTTTAAAGCGGGACTGATCTGATCTCTCTGTGTTGTTTTTGTTAGGATGCTGCCGCAGGTTGTCTGAGTTGTAAAGGATGTACTGTTTTCTTAGGAAGTCCAGTAA